CTCCCCCGCTCACGCCCATCGCCTTTCGATCATGCCGCCCCGCATGCGTTAAATCCGATTTTGTGCGCATGGCATGTCGGGTGCGATCATACCAGCACTAGGTTTTTTGATCCCACCAGAACTCCGCAGTTAAGCGTGCTTGGGCGAGAGTAGTACTAAGTTGGGTGACCACTTGGGAAGTCCTCGTGTTGCACCCCTTTTTTTCTTTCAATTTCTCCCAGTTCTTTTCTTCCTTTCTCTACAAATGAGAACCCCTCCCCCGCTCACGCCCATCGCGTTTCGATCATGCCGCCCCGCATGCGTTAAATCCGATTTTGTGCGCATGGCATGTCGGGTGCGATCATACCAGCACTAATGCACCGGATCCCATTAGAACTCCGCAGTTAAACGTGCTTGGGCGAGAGTAGTACTAAGTTGGGTGACCACTTGGGAAGTCCTCGTGTTGCACCCCTTTTTTTCTTTCAATTTCTCCCAGTTCTTTTCTTCCTTTCTCTACAAATGAGAACCTCCCCCGCTCACGCCCATCGCGTTTCGATCATGCCGCCCCGCATGCGTTAAATCCGATTTTGTGCGCATGGCATGTCGGGTGCGATCATACCAGCACTAATGCACCTGATCCCACCAGAACTCCGCAGTTAAGCGTGCTTGGGCGAGAGTAGTACTAAGTTGGGTGACCACCTGGGAAGTCCTCGTGTTGCACCCCTTTTTTTCTTTCAATTTCTCCCAGTTCTTTTCTTTCTTTCTCTACAAATGAGAACCTCCCCCGCTCACGCCCATCGCGTTTCGATCATGCCGCCCCGCATGCGTTAAATCCGATTTTGTGCGCATGGCATGTCGGGTGCGATCATACCAGCACTAATGCACCGGTGCGATCATACCAGCACTAATGCACCGGATCCCATCAGAACTCCGCAGTTAAGCGTGCTTGGGCGAGAGTAGTACTAAGTTGGGAAGTCCTCGTGTTGCACCCCTTTTTTTCTTTCAATTTCTCCTAGTTCTTTTCTTCCTTTCTCTACAAATGAGAACCTCCCCCGCTCACGCCCATCGCGTTTCGATCATGCCGCCCCGCATGCGTTAAATCCGATTTTGTGCGCATGGCATGTCGGGTGCGATCATACCAGCACTAATGCACCGGTGCGATCATACCAGCACTAATGCACCGGATCCCACCAGAACTCCGCAGTTAAGCGTGCTTGGGCGAGAGTAGTACTAAGTTGGGTGACCACTTGGGAAGTCCTCGTGTTGCCCCCCTTTTTTTCTTTCAATTTCTCCCAGTTCTTTTCTTTCTTT